AATATTCTAGGAGGAAGACATGGAGTTCTCTACATCATTGTGCGAGTTTTCAACCAACAAATTACTCCGGTGAAGACGACTTTTGAATTAACTCTGGACCGGACATCGTGTGCAATTTGCGGTACCGATGTGTCAAGTCAACCAAAAAACCGAAGACCGATATTTTCCAGCAATTCCAGTTGGTGGGGATCGCAGCAGTCCAGGGCGCCACCTACGCCAACTTGTCAGGCTACATTTACCCATGCTAGTGTATATAAGCCAATACTTACCAGAACCGATGCCCGTTGCATCACCGATGTCGTCGCGTGTCGGTATTAATTCCAATAAGTCTAATCGTGTACTCTCCGAAATGGTCACCATTTGTGATCGCGTGCTTGGCTGGTCGTTAAATACTACCATACCCAACTCATCATCGTCATCAGCAGTGAGGAGTATATAAATGCTGGCGACCTGTAAACATGAATAATCAAGTTTTGTTTTAATTTTGGATGACCTAAAAAGCCAATTATTGGTTATGTTTATCCGAGAAAATCCCAAGAGAATTCACTGTGCGCTTTTACTGTATATAACAAAATTGCATTTGTGAGTTGAGTTGAGTTGAGTCACGTGATGTTCACGACCGAGTACGTTATTAAATTTATCATTGTGTTCAACCTAATTCGTAGACAGTCCATTCATTTTCATTATCAGGTGAATGTACGCCCTCTCATTTGATGCATCGCGTTATCCTTAGGGGGTGCTAATTGTGTGTGCACGTGTCTCGGTGACTCTACGAGTGAACATATTCACAGCCCTGGAGGGATCGTCGTTTATGACGCCCTCTTGTGGCGGTCTTCTAACTGTCCTTCTTTTTTATACATGCTCAGACTCGCGAGAATGGCATCTTCGCCAGCGAAAGAGCATTTATTCGGCCGAAGCCTCAACATTAACCACGGATCACGTTCGTGGGCCGGATATGAATGGCCGGCTTTAGCAAAACCGTGCGATTCGGACGATGCGAGAACGGTTACTGACGAAATCCACCTATAACGTGCAATAGTCTATTCACGTGCATGTAGCTTACCTGTCCAAGTTTCTCTATTCGATTATTGGAAGACATACTGCCAGAAATATCCAACAAGAGTACGTTACGTTTAGCCCTCTGTTTTACAACTCTGAAGGACGGAACCGTTGAAAGGTTATCTCGCGGTGGGTTGGCGTCATCGGCAAAGTCCACGTGTTCACGCATAACCTATAGGGAAGAATGGGGTAAAGCGATATTATCCACCAGGCGGTCAACGGTTTAATCGGTACTATTTGGTGTGTTTCGGACATAAAACACCACGTTATTCATATTTTTCGTGTATGTATGCCAGTGAGTTGTGAGTTGTCAATTTCAGCGATATATAGTACATTTCAAACACGACCATGACAATTAGGACTGAGAATATATCGCGTTTGTGGTTGTACAAAAACGTCACATTTTGCCGTTTAAATGCGCATTCCTTAGTGATTGATATAAGTCCCATGATGCCGCACGACGAGACTCAGTGGGTGTAGAGGCGAATTGTATTACCTGCCAGATGTTTTTCTCGTCACATAGCCTGTTATGTTTAGTGGGAGCTTGTTCATTATGTATACTGCCCGACGAGTCGGCCATTGTTTCATTGTCACAAAAATGAACAATCTGAAGAAAAAAAAAGGTAAATGACATCATCAGGGATATCTATATGTACATTTTTGTACGTGGTAGTTTATCGAGCTAACCTCGGTTGCTATGGATACTTACATTTGGCAAATACTGCCTGTACATGAGGGAACCTGTGTAAGATCTGTCGTATCTTTTATCATAGAACCTACAGTCGGGTTCTGGTAGATTACCAACGACGTCACACTCAAGAAACGTGTCTTTGTGAAACATGATTCCTGTGGAATAATAACTGTTAGTATAGCTCATAGCAAAAACGTCACGTTGATTGGTCAGAACGAGGTCACATGATGGCCAATAAAACTCATAATTCCACTATAAAGACTAAATTGGTTACAATATATTCATAAAGTGCAAAATAAAGAGAAATCGGGTTAGAAACATAACAGTGTTGTGCTAATGAAAATTACATTCCACTATTGTGTCATGTGAACGTGAAATGAATAATCTAATTTGTTTTATTGTCAAGAGGCTACTTTGCAATTTACAATATGCAAATAGTTTCAGAATTGGACCGGTCTTGAGATCACAACTACGATTATAATTTGAGTAATTATTTTAATAGTATTTTAAATATAAAGCTTCCACGAGTGTTATCGCAGCCTTGTCTTGAGGCGTATATTCCTGACATGTGACCCATCGTTGACTTGGGTTTAATCGACAAAATGTTATCGACGTTCACGATCGTGATTGGCGAAAATTCCAAATTACAATCCAGACCACTATTTTCATCTTAGAAGTAGGTAGGCAAATTGTCTGATAAAATCTCCGTATTTTTTTCAGTTATTTTAAAAAATAGTTGAATTGTATCATAAAAATATAAATTCATGATTTGACTTTCAGAGCAGTCTCAATTTCAATCAATACGATTACCGTCTGAATCGAATGCACCAAACAGTCGTTCGATTTGCGCCCTCTATCGATAGCAACTAGTGTGTTAGTATGTATCTGTCAATAGAGGGCGCTACTCGTGTACAGGTGACATGTTGACCCAACGCGAAATAAAACCAAAAATTATTATTATTTTATTATCTTTTACCAAAAAGTGTGCAACCATTCGTGTTTTGTTTTTTTCAATATTACCTGTTACTGCAGTTGAACACCTCGTGGCTTCAATCTGACCATTGGGTCCAGCGTAGAAGAGGGGGGCACCTGTGTTACCACCTGGGTACTCGTCGTATACACCCCATCGCAAATGTCCCCATTCATGCACTATGGCCTGATGAAAAAAGCACATTGTATTTTTATTTCATTCTGAAACCGATAATGTACTAAGAGTATTATAACGAGGCATCATTTACTCTTAAAAGTCGTGCGTTTGCTGTAGTTGTACACTCAATGCACAATCCCGGAAAATAGCGCCCTCTGACGACGAACTGCATATGTGACGTCAAAATGGCGTAGATGAGTGCACGGTTACTTTTTTAGTAACCGTGATGAGTGTAAAGAAATGTCATTCAAAGTGACTCTTTAATTATGTAGTTGTTCGTAATTTAGAAAATAGTGACCACAGACCACAACGAACAATATCGACGATGTCACTGGCGTTTCTTACACCCATTTACGAATGGCAATTCACTTGTGTATAAACAACAAACGCGGGATCGTGGAGAGTGAATACGGTTAGAAATCTAGGGTATTTAATTTCAATTGATTAACATGTAGGTCCGTGTTTTTCTGAATGTTATATAATCCTCGGGCGGAGCTACGTCACAAGACGTTCCACGTCGCTAAGACGCGTACCACTGTGCCATGCATTTCTATGTTTTTCGAAGTAATCCTGAACAATCAAACCCCGGGCAATCAAATTAATATGCTGCTCACGTAGGGCTAATCTTGTTACACTGTTCAGGAGAGTCTCAACAACCATCCCAAAGTACCGTTTTCTGATAGATTTCGGCTTTGTTTTCACCGCAATGGTCGGCCAGGCGGTGAATATGCCCGGATGTCCGCTCCCGAGAATGTTGCAATGCACCCTTCCTTACGATATACATCGCGCCCTCTAGTGACAAAGCGCTTCTATGACGTAAATGAGTGACAGGAAGGCCGTTCAAATCATTGATGTCGGTTTGATCTGTATTCATCCATAAATAATATTATATTGTTGAGGAATTTTACTATATTTTTGTCAAGTTGAGCGACATTGGCTTCACCCATATACGTCGTTATGACGTCACAAATGCGCTCTGTCACTGGAGGGCGTCGGGCAATACCTTCTCATATGGTCCGTGCTGTGAAGCAATGTCAGAATCGTTGATATACACGGTTGTCAGTTGCATATAATCCCCTAACTCTCCACAGGGCGTTGTTTTATGAACGTACGGACCGTGATTGGTGTCATTTTCCCGAATAACTACCCTGACGTCACTTTTGTCATATGTTTGGAAGTCAGCTGATCCATATTCAAGGTTGTCATCCCATGACTTGGGAACGAGGATGGATATGTCCTTAAAAAACGCACGATGTCTGTTTATTGAAAAAACAAATAAGAATAATTGTTATGACGTCATTATTTATGTGTTTCACGAGTATATTCCAGAGTGAATATTAAATGGCAGCAGTCGTCGAGCCGCGTCCTGTTCGATATGGGACTCATAGCGACGTATACAACGCGTGTAAAATACATTGTTTATTTACATGAAATTCGAACACGCGCTGCGCGACGACCACCGCGCTTTAAGCAAATGAAGACATTTTTTGCTACTTTTGATTCAACACGAAATGGAAATCTATTCATACTCATCTTGGTCATTGTAAATAATGGGTCATATGTATGGTGTTTGTCTATACAGTCCGGTTATGCTCCACTACGTACAACTTGGTGCTCTTTTTTAAGCTCTATGCAAATAGCCCCCAGTTTTGTATACGTCCATAGTGTGAGTTTTATTAAAGTTTCCTTGTACATGTATCATGATTTGAATTTTAACACTGCTAAAATTAAACATCTATGTTTTTTTTTATTTTGACAGATCAATCCAAGAAAATCACTCAGCATAAAAGAGAAAACACAACCAAACCGAAGAACGTGTCGGCACAGGCAGTTAGTGAGATTATATTGTTCAATACATGGGACAAGTGGAATGATATTATGTCCATAGCAATGGTCTATGTATCGTGCAAGTAGGATAAAATTATCCTTCCAGTGATGACTGGTACATGGGAAAAGGTATTATCCCTGGTCACAACAACATGGGAGATAATATTATCCCTGAGTGGTCCCAACAACATGGGAGATAATATTATCTCTGAGTGGTCCCAACAACAAGTGAGATAATATTATCCCTGAGTGGTCCCAACAACATGGGAGATAATATTATCCCTGAGTGGTCCCAACAACATGGGAGATAATATTATCTCTGAGTGGTCCCAACAACAAGTGAGATAATATTATCCCTGAGTGGTCCCAACAACAAGGGAGATAATATTATTCCTGAGTGGTCCCAACAACGATGGAGATAATATTATCCCTGAGTGGTCCCAACAACAAAGGAGATACTATTATCCCTGAGTGGCCCAACAACAAGGGAGATAATATTATCTCCCGAGTTGTTCCAATAACAGAGATAGTATTACGTAGTTATATAGTAATTTTCAAAATGTTCGTAATTTGGGGTTAAAATGTGCTATTTTGATTATTATTGTATTTTCTGCTACCAGTGGTGAAGTGAAATATTCATGGTCATAATAATTCCATGTTGCTAGAAAACACTGCTTAACGCATGTTTGTCAAAACGGTTTCGTCATATGGTGGTTTTCTGATTCGTGTCTACGAAGTACACTGGCTACGTGCTTGTCCATTGTTAGTGAGTGGGTGGCAAGGACGAAATAAATTTAGATTCTACACCCCCTGTCTTTTCCTCATAAAAATAATAAATGCCGTTTATATCGAAATCCTAAAAATATGTTCGTGACCGCCTTCCATTTGACCACCTTTCGCGTATATTACTTTTGAAAGTAATTTCACGATCATGCTTGTACGATGGAGAAAAGCGATTGAAGCACGGAGATTGGGTGATACTGCAATTTAGAACCCATTTTCAAGGTTAGTTACCCAATTAACTATTATCTGAGTGGCCAATTGACGTTTTGCTCTGTATTCAACTTGTCTGAACTGCCGGATTTTCCCTGCACTGACATATGTGCATGGTTGGTGTGCGTTTCAATGCGTAATGATTTAGAGTGAAGTTAGAATCATAAATGCATATAAACACTTTTTTTTATATAACTGGCTACTAGTAAATAACATGGGACATGGTAATCGAGTAAATAAATAAATTATAGAATAAATTATCAAATATTTTTTTTTTTATTTGTAGAACCAGGGTTTATGAGATGGAGCATTGACGTGAAAGCGCATATCATTTCGATGTGTACTTTGTGTCCACCGTCATATTGATGTCATTCGTTTAGTAACCGACTTTTTTATACTACTGTTTACACGTTATTAAACAGTTTTAAAGTGTTTCACTAACTACAACTTTATCACTTGCGTTGAACCACCCAAGGTCGCATTACTCTGTTGCTATTGTTGTGTTTACGTAGACAATGCCACTATCATTAACAATGGCATGCCTTTGTTCTTTCCATTCTTAATCATTAAAGCTGACAAAAACAGAACATGGGAATGATCGGCCAATTTATTGATTGGAAAAGTAAGCTTTCCTTCTAGTAGACGGTGGGTGTCATTACACACTCACTTGTCGAATGAAATAACGCGGTTGTTCGCAATGCGTTGAAAAGATTCACAGCTATGCAAGAAGCATGATATTTGGTTTCATATCCATCATAACATTATAAATTTAAACTTTACCTTGTTACTTCGTAAAGGAATTCTGATGCGTCTGTGAAGATGGTCATTATGTTGTCTATAATGGAACTATCCTCGGGCACGTTCTCGTCAATCGCGATTACGATATCGTGGTACTCGTTGTTACTCAGGTACACTTTGCTGTGGCTCACGCTTTCGACCATTGGAAAGATTGCCAGTGTCAGATATGTCAAAGTTACGACCAGGTTCCGAATACGGTGCGCGTGGACTGACATTTTCTTTCACTACTTAGAGAGTTTACGGCGTTGTGCGATGTAATACGGTCTAATATGCATGTTCGGTACGCCACCATCGTTGCCATAGATACTACCAACACACATCACGTGACGCAAATACCACGTACGTCATCATGATGTGCAGGTATATATATATACAATAAAACCTCCCCATAAACAAAAAATGACGTTCCCAATAGGCAACAATGTGGTGTTCAAACTCTACAATGACATTCCCCATAGGCCGCAATGGGCAGCCTGAGGTCACACGCTACAATGACATTCCCCATAGACGACAATGTGCAGGTCACATACTACAATGAAATTCCTCTATAGACGTCTATGTACAGATCACATACTACAATAACATTTTCCATGGACAACGATGTACAGGTTACAAACTACAATGGAATTTCCCATGGACGACAATTGCAGGTCACGTACTACAATGAAACTCCCCATAGACGACAATGAACACATTACATAATACAACGAAGCTCTCCGTATGCGAAAATGCACAGACCACATACTACAATTAAAAACAACTAATATATTAACTTTTTCACCACCTGTTCAAAATAATCCCGTATACATGTATAGTCTACACTTTCCTTCAGAAGACTGGAACAAAAATAACTAAATTTGTTGAGTACAAATTGAAAATTGACACAAATTTTGTCTGTCGGCTGCAAAATTACGGTTCATTTTCAGAAATATTGAAGAATATAAGAAACAAACTGCAGAAACATTTGGGAAAGAAAGTCTGGTGGTAAAAAGGTTAATAAACGCAAATGGCCGCCGAGATTTCGTTGAGAACGAGATAACCGCGAGACTCGTTTTTGACTTTTAAACAGTTACCACGGGATGGAGCCTGATCCGTGTTACGCTCGACCAATCTCCTGCCCATAGGTCTTTGCGCTGTTAAGTACCACGCAAGTAACTGATCAGTGTTCGATGCACGATAACCCAAATATTGTCATCACCTTCACTGACCAAAATATCATGGTTACGTAGGTAAGATGGAACAGTTGACGCGGTGACGGGGGAGAATAGAACGCTATTTGAGGGGAAATCATTTGTCTCGTAGTTCTACAGTTCCAAACGATTTTTCGGCGGCCTTTTGTTCCCAAGGTATGTTGTACAATTTGTGAAGTTACATTGTGCTTTATTGCTGCCAATAGTAAAACAACAAAAAATATTTCAAATATAAAAATGATTTTAAAACAGTGTCACAATTTCAATGTTGCGATGTGTACTGTTAACACAGTTGTAATGTAAAGAAACATTTACTTTGTTAGCTAGGCAGATCCTGATAGTTGTTTTTTGTGTTCTGTGATTAGTTTGTTAATTAGACAGTTCCTGGCATTTATTTTCGTGCAATGTGAACGCAGACGTATAATCTCTCAAAGTGTACTTTAAATGATTTCTTCTTGTCGGTTGATTGTTAAGTGTCATCGTTGGAATGACTTATTTTACCCTGGGGATGTTTCTGTTGTGATACCTAGTGCAAATGTTGGTCACCCTTAATTACACAAACTGGGTCGCTTTTGTTACGATTGATGGTGTTTGGGCGTGGTGTCCATTTATTGTTTGACCTGGTAACGCTTCATTTAACTGAACACAAAAAAAGTATGCATTGGACACTGACATTATTTGAAGTTTCTGAATCTCAATAAAAATCGGCTTAAGAAATTACAATGTATAGACGGCCCAAAGAGGGTAATTTTCAGTAAAGACGTATGAATACCCCAAACTTCACTGCGTATTTGATTGTATTATACATTGTAACTCGGCCGAGAAATCCAATAATTCCTGACTTTCGAGATGTTGGGTTTCGCCAGAACACCACTCGAAGTAACCGAAGTACCTGACAGCAGTTTTCGGCGCTTGTAATGGGGTTGAATTCATACAACATTGTATCTCAGACTAGTAATTCAATAAACTCGCAATGCCAATTTTTTTAAGGTTATTACTAGTCTGAGATTGTATGCACCCGTTAGCATCGTGAGGAAAGCGTATTATTTCCAGATACGGACCTACATGCATATTTGTGGATAACAGGTATTGCAATGCTCTTGGTGTTCTTCCAGTACAATCACGAAAAATCGGGCCAAATATCCTTGACTATCGAACGTTACTTTCCATGACTTTCCACAGAGAAACAGTTCATCGTAAAAGAAAATGATATTTCTTTTTAAAACTTGGCGCATTCACTGTTCGTTTAGTCCTCCACACTTATTTTCACATACGTTCGGTGATAACATACAATAAATATAACATAAAACATAAACATAAGTTTGTATAGAGATGTCAAAAGACGTTGATTATTGCATTTCTATTATTTTATTCGGTGAGAATACACAACCACTGGCGGATCCAGAAAATCGCGGAAAGCGCTCCTATGAACGTGGGCTGGGTTTGTCAGTCAATTTGTAATTTGTTTGCGGGCTGAGGGGGCGCAGTGTCACACCTACTCCTAAATCCGCGCGTGAATACACAGAATGGCAGACATGATGGCTGAACCATCTTGAATTTTCAAGGTGAATGTTCCGGCAAAGCACTCCACTCTAATTCAGTAAAATCGACATATGGCTTCTCCTTTTCTTCAAACAGTTGGAATTATCGCTCTCTTGAATATTCATGACGTGTTCTATAGTTTCTTGGTTGTATCGGTTTTACTTTAGGTTCTTCGAATAACTGCTTTATCTCTTCTTCTTGTGTTTCCCATTCTGCGGTCATTTTCTCAATTTCTACCATATGTTCATCCTTAAATCTTGGAGCCAGTCGATTTCTTGGTTTCTTCTTGATGTGTACCCATTTACTAAACTGCCACAAGTGGTCTAATTTCTCTTCTACGTCTGACATTGCCGGCCATTCAAAGTCCTCCGGTTTTGTGTCACCGTTTACCATGTCCAATAGCGAGGCATACATGAGTGAATTTAGGTCTTGTTGGATGGATTCAAGTTCTGGCATTTCTTTGATATCGTCTTTTTCAAATAGCATCCGGCTTTTAAATGCTTGCTCTTGGGACGATACTTGATACCAAAGACTTTTATTGGAGGTGATGTAAATGGGCGTTCTTTCTAACAAGCATGGTGCCTTCCCTTTTCTGTTAATCATAGTATTCATGCCTTCAAACACACTTTTGGACATCTCGGCATTATGCTCCAATAAAATAAACTCATTGGCCATAGCAATCCTGGCACAGAGGCAATTCTCGAACATAAAATTCGACGCCGACTCATTGGATGTTGCAATGTTGCCCCAAAATCTTGCCACGTCGTGAAGGGGCCTCATTACCCATGATTTTCCGCCATTAGATTCGCCCATCATATAAATCAAATTCTTCTTAGGCTGTTTCTTATCGAACCAGTTAACGATGTCATAAAAAAAGTCCCACATGTTAAGGGATTGATGGTTACACCACTTCATAAACCAATAAATGCTGTCTTCTACTGATAAATAATTGTCTCGATTGTTATACTTGGGGTTTGCTAAATCACGTAATTTAAAACACAACTCACCAAATTCGAGTCTTAGTACTTCTGATCTTACGGCATCCACCGCTGTACGGTATAAGTATTCAGACACCGATCTACTAATAAACCGGTGCCACTTTTCTTTGAGTTCTTCACTTGCTAGTTTGTCCTCTGTCACCAATCGCCCAAGATTTGGTAGATCTGTAGGATTATATTTTGTAATTAGATCCTTAACAAAATATAGCATCTCTTCGTTGGTACTACTCTTGACGGCACGTTCTTGCCTTTTGGCCTCCATGGCGGCAATATCTTCGACAGTGGTGTTATGAAGAAGTAGTTTTTCTAGTGCCGTTTTATTCTTTGTGTAGAGCCACTTCTTTTCCTTCGATGCCCCTTGAATGTACGCCGCGAAACTTGTTGGGACTTTGCAAATTTGTGAGATGATGTGCATGTTGGGCTCGTTTTCTTCCCATGACATCTTCGCTTGTCGAAAAGCAGCCAACTGTCTGACATCAGTTTCGCTTCCAGCTGTAGCCATGACGTGAATGTGCGGTCCTTTGTATTGGGAGCATGGGTCGGTAACGCCGTCGTGGTATGCTCCATACGAATCCACACCTTTCGATTCAAGATACTGGAACAATAGGTCGGTACATCTGATCAGTTCACTGTTGAGGTTGATCATCCCAATATCCATCTTTTCAGGCACGACTCTAAATTTCGTAATGAAGATCACATACTTGGTCTTTGTATCGACGTCGTTTTTAGGTGCCAACCAGTTTTTCTGTTCTTGCTGCAGGTTCACAGTGGTAGTCGGCTTGGCTAAGTAACCTTTCGCCTTCATAAAGCGGTTGTAAGACATGGTAGTCTGGTAGTTAGCGCAAATAGTGCAGAGCGAATTTACTTACGTCCTCTCTCTCTGAAATCCAGTGGGTAACTGACAAACAACTTCAAATCCTTCCATTCCTTGCGCGTCGAACGTCGCGCGGGTATAAAAATAGAGTGTGCGTCATTGGGTAGTTCCATGTATCACGCGTTCGGTGCGTGCGCGTTGCATGCTCTTTATTTCTTGCTGCGTCACAAACCTTGGCACTGTGCCAAGAAAAAAAAAACCCTATAGAGGACCTCATTCTATGGTCACTGGTTACGGTTGTTGTTAACAACCACCGTTGCTAATAATATTCCCACCTTGGTTTTCCTCTTATACTGACGTCACACATCCGGGCCCTTAGTGTGATGTCTCTTTTATATAAAAACCCATGGTTGTTGTTGAAATCAAGTGAGGTCACAACTGCTCGTGCAGGAAATCGGGCGCTGGCGGAGGGAGGAATGTCCGAACGGAGCAACACCGTGCAGGCGGACGATGGGCTGAACTGACGGTTCATTGCATTTTATTTTGCCATTCTGCACAAAACATCGTGCACTATATGTGGTTTGTACTGTAGAAGACAAAGTGTCGACCCCGGAAGTTTGAAAGTCACGTGGTTACTGCCGAATCGAACAGACGCGCTGTATTCCAGGTACTGAGAATTCAGAAATACGTTGCTATGAGTTCTGGGAACGCAGATGATGTTCTACATTGCTAAGACGCGCACCACTGTACCACGTATTTCTATGGGCTTTGTGCGCGCTGCTGTGGAACGCCGGTGGAGCCGGTGAAAACTCGAGAAACACAAACTCAACTTTGAAGTAATCCTGAACAACCAAATTCATATATGTTACACACGTAGGGCTAATCTTGTTACACTGTTCAGGGGAGTCTCAACAACCATCGCAAAGTACCGTTTTTTGCGAGTTTTTGGCCTTTGTTTTCACCGCGAGGGTTGCCAGGCGGTAGAAAATGCCCGGATGTCCGCCCCCGAGGTATTCCAATCATTCAGTTCATGATTTCACAATTACATTGTACTTACTATAGGTAGCGCCATCTAGTGACAAGTACTTAATTAGATAATCGTTAGCAATGTCGTTCAAATAGATGACTGGATTAGGTTGAGTATTCATTCGTAATTTAGAATCACTGATGGGAACTACAAATCATAGCTGTGAATGGCGCCCCCAACGCCTGTTTCTATTTCAGACTGAGCGCTTCGCCACCAGGCTTGGCAGCCCACAACATCACAAGGAGCAGTAATTTCATAGTAATGATTCTTCAGGTTTAGCAGCCAGATCACCGGCCATTAAACGTACACACAAACATCAAGAGTCAGTGAAAACTGATATTAAAATTGTATTACATGTATATCAATAATATAATCATCACACAGCAAGTAAAAAAACATACTTAGTTGAATTTATGATCAATCTTTATAATTGTGTGAAGACAAAGGCACTTAAAAAAAGATACATGTGTGTGAAATTATTTCCACATGTGCAAAAAATCGAGTGATATATAATATATATAATTAATAAATGTGAAAATTTATCAAATAATTTCTATCATGAATTTGGATTTCATCAAAAACATCAACACCATGATTAACCTACAGTTTATTTACATTGAGAATAAAACTATTGGCAGTGAAATGATTTTGATTTGAATTTAAAGTTCTCCTAAATTAAGTTACTTGATTTCATGTGAAAACAAATAAATCACAATTGTCAGCCAATTGATTAGGGGTACATATAACACAATCATACTGAAAAACGTGTCAATTTTCAATTGTATTTGATTTCACTATTCTGTCATTTTGGGTATATTACTGTAAAATATTTATTTTGGCTTGGAATTAATTTTCACTCTTTTCACTGAAGGGAGGATTCGGTGAAAATAAAATCCAGCAAACAGACCTTTTTTCTTATATTTTACATTCAACTAATCAAAAATCAGTGAAAATAAACTCCATACAAAACACCAAAATGATCTTTTCAGCAAAAACTAATTCCAGGTAAAATATAGTATTTTACAGAATGAGTTTTAAACAGAGTGAATAATGAATATACTTACAGTAGTGCAACAGTGATCTGTATATACATATATATGAAAATTACAAATTTTTTAAATTTAATTAGACACAACAAAAAGTCATCAAAACTGCTTAAGGTGACAAGCAAATGCTGGATGGAGTGTGTAAAGGCGAGGAAGGACCCTGACACGACAGACATGTAATAACGAACTACTTAGGTCATATGAAATTAAACAGTCAGGTCATGTGACATTACACACACAAATGTGTCTACTGGTAAAATTACCTCAGTATTTATTTTGAAACTTTGATAAAAAATAATGCACTATAAATCTTGACAGCAATTGTTGGTGTGGCGGAGTTTTTTATGAAAAGCACTCTGACATTTCAACACTTCACAACACTCATAATAATTCAGAATAATTTTAAAGTTCAGAATTTAAGTATGAACAATGTAGAATATTTATAACACCTTTAAATAATCGTAAATATACATCTAATAAAAACAGATATGAAAAATATAACTGGTAACAAATTATATATTTAGAATTTTGTATTCCAATAAAATATTTCATTTTATACTTGTTACTAGGATCTGTCTGTGCTCACAAAAATAAATTAAGACAGTTTTAGTCTACTTGCATTACTGAGCATGTACTGCACACATATGCAATGCATTATGGGAGTGAACTTCCATTGTATGTAATGGAAAAAAATGGAAACTAACTAATTAATCATACATTTAACAATATGAATATTCATCCTATTCATCCCATTTCACCAAGCAAAATTTTGAGAAATGAAGAAATCATCATAGAGAGCAGTGTAAAAATGACAATCTTGACCATTTCAGACATCTGTGGCTGCAATTTTTCACAATTTTCGGTATTCTGATGGCATAAACCAATAATAACAGCCCCAGAGTTATTAAAGAATTTGTGGTTTGGTTAAGATAAAACAGAAAATATTTTTACTGGGTTTACATTATATGTCTAACTAAATACAAAGATTAATTAGTGCTTTTCAATTAATGATTAAAACGTAAGTAACATTTTCTGACCTCATAAATTAAATCTTCAAATGTACATCTTAAATGTGGGCAGTGGTGGTGCAGCAATGGCATCTACATAGTCTAAGTTCAATTCCAGCCGATCATAATATATATCAATTCATATATTAACCCCTGGTACACACATTTTTTAATTTACTTAGTAGTAATCGATTCACAAATCATATATAATATATTTAAATCATAGTGTGCTTAAAAGCTTAGTGCACGTAGGAAAATCAAAATGCAGCATTACATCATGTGACACTCAGTAAACCAATCACAGCTCTTAATTGTTCTTTATCTGTGCTAATCTCCTTTGTAATTTCTTTATATTCTCTTGGAGTACAGCGTTACTGGGATCTAATTTCAATGCAGCATTATAGTGATAGCTGGCTCTGGATAAATCACCCTACAAACATAATAACACTCATTTAGTCTGCATCGCCTATGAAAGGCAAATAACATTTAGACCTAGGAGCATCCATGTACCAATTTTAGTCGCAGCTTAATACCCGGCAATTATCAGTATTAAGTAACACGTGCATGGATTTCAACTAAACCCTAATCAGGTTATTATCCCAAATTATGTACCAAGTTTCATTAAAATCAGATGAGTCGTTCACAGACATGGTGTACTCGTAGACCCCATTTTGTACGCACTAAATTTTAATCAATCCAAAAAGGTAGAGTAACAAATGTTGAATGATATTTATATTATTTATTCATTTCACAATTAATTTGTGAATGCAGGCACAATCGATTGATCTTATTTGAACCATCAACCCACTGTTCACCCTATTTAAAACAATATTTATATTTTTTCATGCTGCAGCCGACAGGAAGTATCATTACTAATTCTTGGAATAGCATACACAATCTTATGGCAGTGTTATGGAATAAATCATAATGTAATCATATTTTCTGAAGGCTTGATGCGACAGATTACAAAAACATGCAAACAAATTAAAACATAGTAAATTCATATAGTAGCAATTAAATGAAAGAGTTTTGATAGAAACTTCAACTCCACAGCTTT